AGAAGACGTGGGGGAATTCCCCACGCGGCTAGTTTTCCCCACAAAATGGACCTATTGACAGAGTCGAAGGCCGCTTTCAAATCAACAAAGGCCACAAACAGGTTCCCTTTAAAATGATATACGTACTTCTCTGCTAAGAACGAGAGAGTTAATGCGTGATCCAGTGTTGAACTACCCGGGTGAAAACCGATTTGCTCTTGTCCTGGAAGGTTTATAGAAACGGACCAGGAAGTGAGATGGACCAGAAGATGTTTACTATATAGCTTTCCGATGGTGGAGAGTAAACTGATCGGTCTATAGTTGCCCGGGTTAGAAGGGTCGCCTTTTTTAAAAATAGGAACCAGGATGGAGGTGAGCCAATCCTCTGGAATAGAGCCGTGTTCGTCTATTAGGGTGAATAGATTTGCCAGAGGATCAGCCCACCATTGGGCGTTGTTGATTAAGAGGTCATTGGAGATTCCGTCAGGACCGGGAGACTTCCCGCGTTTCAGAGCATAGATGAGCTTTAGGACCTCGTCCCTAGAGACCGGTGGCCAGAGGGGGAGCTCAGAGGGAAGATTCTTTGGCATAGGAATTGGGTCCTGGGAAGAAAATATTATAATTGCATAAATAAGACCAGTTTCCAGTTCTTAACATAATTACATGCTGGAGGATTTTAACTATATTGCTCATGCTGAAGCTGGTTCGAAAGGCAGCTGATGAATATAATGCTTTGAGACTGTAGTCCTGTACACATTTACCTGTATGCAGTGAGCCTTAATTCTGAGAAATCACGTAGAGAATTGAATTATGAAAAATAACAAGAAGAGGAAGAGGAGGGGAGAAAAGCAAGATAATATTTAGACCATGGAAGTTGAGAGCTGATAAACAAGCAGTAAACATGGAGAATGAAACAAATAGTATAGAAATGAAGTACAAGTTCAAGAAGGGGAAATTTCCTATAAATATATATATAATTTTATTAATTCATTTTATGATCTGAGAGTTCTTTTTGTCTTGCAGTAATTTTATTCATTTGTTCATGTATCATTTTAATAATTAAAAGCCTGGATATATGGGTGTATAAATGTAATCAACAAAAAAATACATTAGTTTGAGCTGCATCAAAGCCAGTGAGGAGGGCCTTCTTGAATAAAAAAAAGTATGTGGTATTTATGGATGGCTTATTTCATTTTCAGGCATGACATCTCAAAGCATATTTGAATTCTATGTGAAAGTTAATATGATGAGAGAACTAATAGTGAGACTTTCCCTTAAACAAAGATCTGGCCAGGCTGGGTGGCTGAGGGGCTTGACCCTGAGAGAGGCACAGAAGGAAAGAACTAGAAACCGGGCCTTCTCGGCGGTGGCCCCTTGCCTCTGGAACACCTTGTCCCTGGAGATTCACCTGGCACCCTCGCTGGGAGTTTTCAAGAACAAGCTGAAGACTTGGTTCTTCAGGCAGGCCTTCCCCCCTTCCATTTCTTAGTTTCTATGTCTTACCATCTTGGACTTTGCCTATCTCTTTGTTATTGATATTGTTTTAATTTTTGTTTTATACTCGGACTGTAAACTGGCCAGAGTAGATTCTGGAATGAGCCGAGTAAACGCTGGAAAAATGAATGAATGAATGAATGAATGAATGAATGAATGAATGAATGAATGAATGAATAAATAAATAAATAAATAAATAAAATGAGTATCAAACTCAGTTTGTGAGCACAGTTTTGGCTGCAATATTGCAGTTTCACCACTGAAGTTTAATCATTCATCCATTCAGCTCATTTCCTTGAACCACTGCTTTGTTAACTGTTTTTAACTCTTGCTCAAAAGAAGGAATCAAGATATACTTATCAGACAGCGTAATAACATTTTAAGACAGTGGTTCCCAACTTTGGGCGACACATTTTCCTTCACAGTCAAAATCCTCAATCAATCAGCAAAACACTCAGTCAGAATAAGCCCAGCAAGAAGGCAGTATTTTATGGCTTATTCACAATTAATTAAGGATACATTTCTAACACACACCTACCTAAGAGTAAGTCCCTTTTAATCCAATAGGATTTAGTTTTGAATATGTATGTAAAGGACTGCATTGCAAAATAATTTTATTGAGTAAAGAGGTGCCAGATGAACTGGCCAGCCCTTTAAAAAAACTTTTGGAAGAAGAGCTGATAATAGCTAAGCAGTAAGACCTACTATTGACATACAAGGGGAAACACCTGTTCAAAAGGTGCCGTCTGTAATTCATGACACACGTATTCATAATCTAAAGTGATTGTGTGCCCCAAACATGTTTCTACTCTCACATTCCCTACCACTGGCTGTGCTAGTAAGGGATGACAACTCCCCTGGTTTTAAAATAAAAAGACGTATGCTTCTTTCATCTGAAACTTTGGAAGGAAAGAATTTAACCAGCAGATGAATGTATTAAAACGAATACAATCAATTAAGGTATCTTTAATCACATTGCAGCTTTGCTGATCACAAACATTTGGAAAAACGTTACCTGGGTCTAAGTGCGTGAAAGAGCCAATGACAAAATCCAGCGTTGAAACGGCCAGAAGAAAAAGCAGCAGCAGCTGGAGACGGATGATCCATTTCACACCAGCAAGGTTGATTCCAAGCAAGCCCAGCAGGACAGCAAGTGAGATGCCCCGTACTGCCCAGATGTTACTGAAGCTCAAGACATCAGATATAGATTCGGCAAATCCAGTTATGTACATAGCACCTGCAACACACTAAGGGGTAGTTTCACTACTAAAATTATTAGGTAAGTATATCACAACTTTTCTGAGCTGGAGGATGTGGTAGGTTTTAGTGATTTTTGTATTTATACTTTATCACACACCATCTATAGAAGGCCCTTGGGTGATGGCTTTTGTTGTTTTTAATTTAAAAACAAAACATTTTGAAGCTGTTGAGGCTTCCTCCCTGAATGCACTGTGGGCGGCGCAGTGCAGTGTAGGACACCAACCCAGCCAATCACAGGGCTGGGAATGGATGTCTCCGCCCACAGGTGGCCCATATTGGTGACTCAAATCTAGGCTGCCTCTGGGAGAATAAAAGTGGATGCTGTCCTAGTTGTAGCTGTTCTGGAGAACAATGCTCAATGGGGCCACACAGTGGCAGATGCTCCCATGGTGAACCCATTTCTGTTTCCCTTGGTTACCCATCAGTCAGCAGACAGGTTCAACTGATGTTGATCTGTCCTCCATGCTAGCACCAATAGTATTGCCAGCTCTTGCCCATAAAGTTGCGACCTGTTTTAGTTCCTATGCTCATGTGTTCTGTGATTATTTCATACCAGACACAGATCACAGCCTGATGGCTTGGATGACAAATATCACAGAGTACAGAGGCATTGTGGGTCCAGGAAGTGATGATAAAATAGCAGCCAGCAACGTGCTGGAGCTGCCAGTTTAATATTTAGGTATTTATTAAAACACATCCATACATTGTTTTAAAGTGCTCAACCATGTTCGTATTGCGTTTGATCACCATGTATGATCAAAGATAGCACCTCCCTTGCTGCCAAATGTTGAGGATTGACGAGGGCCTTGTTCTGTTTGCCTAACAGTCATCTACTCTGTGTGGAATATGAAAAAGAGTAGTTCAAAGTCTTTTAGAATCTTGGATGCCATTTGTATGTGGAATGGATGTCTATTATTCCATGCAAGGAAAGACTGGCGTAGAGGAGTTCTAGCTCCCTGCCATAAAAGTCTTCAACAAATTCTCAGCAACTGCAAAAGGTTTCACACTGAATTAAGTGAGCATCTTAGATGGATGTAGGAAAAGTGAACTGAAGAAAAGTGGTGATTGGAGAATGGGAGAAGAAAATCCTTGTAGGAGAACAAGACCAGGAAAAATGGGTTATGCAAACATTAAAGATAGCTGATTAAAGTGGCTGATTTATGAGATCTATTGCATAGAAAAATGGAACTAAATCCCAGGCTTATTATTTGAGAAACTGAGTCTTTTTGTGTTTTTGCTTTGTTTTGTTTTGTTACTCATAGAAATGTGCACTACATCTTGCTCTACAGTATATGGAAATTCGAATGTAAATTGTTTTCTCTCTTTTTAAAATTATAATTTGTGTTTATACTTCCCCCAACAATGTTTTTTAAAGAGACATGGAGAACAGAACAAGGAAGTCCAGTTAACCAAGTAGCATCCAATTTCTTATACAGCTCTGCTGACCTCTGATCTATTCAATCTAGGGTTTGATGGAGAGTGCAAAACTAAGAAATATAATCCCACACACACACATAAGCCAAGGATACTGTGCTGCAGAGAGCTAAACTCTTCTACCAGAAACTGCAGGTAATATCCAGGTCCTGCGATTTCTGCCATGTATTTATTTAAAGTGTATGAAGTTATACAGGTAATAAAAGTGAGGAGGGGGGATGATGTGGCAGGTTGTTGCCAAGACAGCTTACTTTAGGCTTATTATTTGATAAACTGAGTCTTTTTGTGTTTTTGCTTTGTTTTGTTTTGTTACTCATAGAAATGTGCACTACATCTTGCTCTACAGTATATGGAAATTCGAATGTAAATTGTTTTCTCTCTTTTTAAAATTATAATTTGTGTTTATACTTCCCCCAACAATGTTTTTTAAAGAGACATGGAGAACAGAACAAGGAAGTCCAGTTAACCAAGTAGCATCCAATTTCTTATACAGCTCTGCTGACCTCTGATCTATTCAATCTAGGGTTTGATGGAGAGTGCAAAACTAAGAAATATAATCCCACACACACACATAAGCCAAGGATACTGTGCTGCAGAGAGCTAAACTCTTCTACCAGAAACTGCAGGTAATATCCAGGTCCTGCGATTTCTGCCATGTATTTATTTAAAGTGTATGAAGTTATACAGGTAATAAAAGTGAGGAGGGGGGATGATGTGACAGGTTGTTGCCAAGACAGCTTACTTTAAATCATAGCTTCTCAGTCAAGAGTTCTACATGAGGTAGCAGCATCAAAGGTAACATAATACAGAGTCAGATGGAAATACTGGTATCTGTCAATGGCTGAGCCTGATTGCTTCTAGCAGATAAAAGCATCAAACTGAGCATGCACCTTTCATGCCAGCTTACTCAAATTTAGCCTTTTGGCATTTTGTCTAGCAGCCCAATAGATATCGGTCATACATTTATGATATACATATGCTTATTTTCTGAACAGTCAGATGAAATGGTTTCCAATGCCCAGTGTATTATTCCTCTCATACAAGATGAGTAGCTTTGGGTGCCTCTCATGTTGCATGTTCCAGGACAGGACAGTATCTTGTCAGACAGGGAAAGAATAAGCAAGATTTGTGAAGTGGTAGATGCCAAATGTTCACGGTAAGTCTTTGAATGTGCCTGTATTGAGGGTCAGTATGATGTAGTGGTTCAAATGTTGGAGCACAACTGAGGAGACCCTACACAGCTGTGATGTTCTTGTGCAGAATGTAAGCCAGTCACATTCTCTCAGTCCTAGCAGGGTTATAGGGAGGATAAAGGGTTGATATGCAGGAAACCCACATGGACCATACTGAGGTCACTGGAGGCCTGAGCATGCACCTTTCACGCCAGCTTACTCAACTTTAGACCAACAGCCTTTTGGCATTTTGTCTAGCAGCCCAATAGATATTGGTCATACATTTATGATATACATATGCTTATTCTCTGAACAGTCAGATGAAATGGTTTACAATACCCAGTGTATTATTCCTCTCATACAAGATGAGTAGCTTTGGGTGCCTCTCATGTTGCATGTTCCAGGACAGGACAGTATCTTGTCAGACAGGGAAAGAATAAGCAAGATTTGTGAAGTGGTAGATGCCAAATGTTCACGGTAAGTCTTTGAATGTGCCTGTATTGAGGGTCAGTATGATGTAGTGGTTCAAATGTTGGAGCACAACTGAGGAGACCCTACACAGCTGTGATGTTCTTGTGCAGAATGTAAGCCAGTCACATTCTCTCAGTCCTAGCAGGGTTATAGGGAGGATAAAGGGTTGATATGCAGGAAACCCACATGGACCATACTGAGGTCACTGGAGGAACAGCAGAATTATAAATGTAACAAATAAATAAATCACCAGTGACTTGCACACTAAGAAGATTCTACTGGAGGAATTTTATAGAAGGACCTCAATGAATGGCAACCCTCAGCAATGGCATTATACACTCACTTCTAAGGTTCACCCCATCTCATAAATACTTCGTTCATATGCCTCTTCATAAATGCCAGATGAACACTTTCTTGCTACCTAAAGATTACCCAGATAAATATAACAATGGAAAAATGACATTTAGCAAATCTGTCTCTACTATAAATCTTTATTATGATCTTCATGAGCAGAAAGAGGAAAGCAGCCTCTTAAATCTCTATTTATGCACTGTGACGAAAACCATGAAAAGCTCTAATTGTATCACAGGAGCACTATATTGTAAGCATATTTATCTGAGCACAGTTACAAGTGCGTCTGGAGACCTTTTCATTAAAAAGTCAAAGGTTTGTCTTATTTCTAGTTGTGATGGAGGTGGGGAGGCAGGGTTGACATGAGTCACCACATTTCCACCAGCCGTTTAGTTCTCTGTGATTTTTGGCCGGAATAAGGTTGATATTTTGAGATCTTCAATTAATCAACTTGTTGTTTTCTCCTTGATGGTATGCCATTCTTCAAGGTGGATGCCAATATTTATAGACTTGTCAAATGGTTTAACCAAAATCCGTGAATCTCATCTGGACCAGGTGCACTCCAGTATTTCACAGCCTTTCTTTGCTTCTTAATCATTTCAGTTGTTATTACAATATCATCCATATGGTTTTATCCCTTGCACCACAATAAAGATACAAATCTATTCAACTCCTTGCCAAATCATTTCAGGAAGGCTTGCGAGCCAAGTGTCGTTTTACTATATTTATCTCTTAAGTAGTACGTAACTGATTAAAAGGCATGCCCTGGGTAGAAAATGTTCTAAATAAATGGAAGTGTTTTCTCCAGAAACTAGGATCCTTACCTGACCAAAAATGTAAAGGAGGCCAACAGTTCCTCCTACTTGACCTCCCAGGACAGTAGAAATCATTGAGTAGACACCTCCACTTCCAATGCTGCACCGCTCACAAACACCAATGCCAGACAAGACTGTTACCAACGCAACCAAGATTACAAAGGATACCAAAAACATGCCCATTAGTATGCCGGTGTTTCCCTAAAATGCAAGGAAGGGAGAAAGATTAAAACTTAAAAGGGGAAATGGTAGATGAATTTCGTAAACACACTAGAGGCAAACCGCCAGATAAAGACAATATAACAGACACGTGGACCATTAGCTGTTGGAGAGCAATATGAGTAAGCACCGGCAATGATACACCAAAAAGATGGCCCACTGTTACTGAATACTTAGGACATTTAAGAATTCTCATGTACAACCGACCTTAGGTCAATTTGACCTATGTGAATACTATATCAGAATTTCAGCTGCATAATACTTTTGGCATGACATACTGGCCAGACCCCTATTGCTTAGTGTAGAAATTATACTAGAGTAGGCCCATTACCTCACTGGGGATTTGGTGAATCAACTCCCCCATAGGTTCCATTGATTCAAGTGGGCCTAATTCCAGGGATGTTAGCAAGTCTTTAGGTCCAAGTCCTGAGTCCACGTCTTTGGGTCTAAGTCTCAAGTCTCATCCCAAGTCCCTATTAAAACCAGGGAATCTCTTTTATGGGGAGAGATTCCCACATGTTGCTCCTGCAGCTGCCAGAGTACTCTTCTGGACTAAAACTCCCAGAATCCCCTGGGCAGCACCATGCAAAGCCTTTTCCTAAGTGCCGATTTTGCCACAAAGGGGGTGAAGGGGATGCAGGTGGGAGCCGACTCTTTCACACACAGACCCTTAGCCTCAAGGGAGGCTCTGTCATCCTGCCTCCTGCCCCTTGGCCTCTGCCCCCCTACCCTTCCACAAGGCTGCACACTATTCTCGTGGTGGAGCGTTCCACAGGCAGACGGGGCACAGAGAGAAGTGACTCCTGCTCTCTAGCCTGGGCATCTCTATTATCAAGACCAGTCTCCAAGGAGCTCTGAGGACCTTTCGAGGGGGCAAAGCAAACAGGGCAACAGGTGGCAGGAAGAGCTCCAGGTCAGGGAAGGGCCAGAGGTCTACTGCCTAACCACCCTTGAGCATGGCACTCAATGCTCTCCATAGCAGCAGTGGCCGCCTCCTCCTCCTCCTTCTCCCTCCTTCTCCCTCAGAGTGGAGGGGTCTGTGACAGCAGCCCGGCAGTGGCAGAAGGCCTCACCCAATGCATTCTGGGAAACTCCCAGGCGGTAGGTGGCAAGGCTGGTGTTGCCAGAGCAACACTTTGAGGCTTGTGTTTGGAGCCTAGGAGTGAGATGGGGCACCCTGTTGCAGCCACAGCTTGGGAGGCAGCAGAGCCTCTTGCTGAGGGCCCCACTGCTCCCACCAACTCACGACTTGGAAAAATGAGTTTGAGTTGTGAGTCAAGTCCATGTCTTTTTTAAAAAAGAAAAAAGAAAAAACAAGTTGAGTCTGAACAAAAAAAAGAGGGGTCTTAACTGACCAGATAGGCGGGATATAAATAAAATAAATAAATAAATAAAAATAAATGAGTCAAGCCACAGGTGTGACTTAAGTAAGATTCAACAGTGAGTCATGGGTCCTGCCTTATTCTAACTGTGGCTTATTTTAGCACAGTAAATGGCAGTTACATTAGGACTGTTTGGTTTGAATCAATGGAAATTACAGAGGAGAGGATTCATCAAATCCCCATTGATTCAGTGAACCTACTCCAGTTCAATTTACTACATTAAGCAACAGTATTTTGGCACTGAATTTGGAAATTCAAATAATCTTATTATTTGACAGTGGTGTTCTGCAAAATTTAGTGATAAGTCTGCATCTACTGCAGTCTTATGACATCAATCTTAAGTCTTAAGACATCAGTCTTTAAGTCATTACTTGATGTGAAATAACACGACACATAATTTACAACTTGAATCTACCAACCACCACGATCTCTTCATCTTAGTGTCATGTATGAATGTTTTGCCACATAAGCTCTATATTTTCATTCTTATGTCTAAAGAAATGGACTTGTTCCACAAAAGCTCACATTAAAATATAGCATGTATTCTTTAAACTACCTACCCTGTTTCCCTGAAAATAAGACCTAACCTGAAAATAAGCCCTAGTATGATTTTTCAGGATGCTCATAATATAAGCCCTACCCCCAAAATAAGCCCCAGTTCAGTGATACCCCGCCCTCCACTATTGTGCAGCCACCAGAAGATGATGACAGGACTGTATTTGAATAACTGTAGATTGATGTACATGAAAAAAATAAACTATCCCCTGAAAAAAAGCCCTAAGGTATTTTTTGGAGCAAAAATTAATATAAGACCCTGTCTTATTTTCAGGAAAACACAGTATACATTTTTGTCTATATTTTTGCTTTTGTTTTGTTTGTGGTTTTGTTGTTGTTGTTGTTGTTGATATGTACTCCAAGTTAGAGGGCTGATGCACGTTGTAGATTTGAAATGTGATGTCTCTGGAGATTAAGATAGAGAAGGCAGACAGGCTTGGGTTGCTGTGTTTCCATAGCTTTTATCATATACAAAGAGCTCCCTCAGAAGACCCTTCTAGTGTTATCGGCAGGCTGATTCTAAATAAAAAGTGACCTCTTAATCCTTCCCCTTGAGCCTTAGAGATCCCTGTTGTGAAGCAGCTCCAGCATTTGGCTTCCTTCAGCCTGTCTTCAAAGCAATCTGTGTGTAGCTCTTATCCCACAGGTGTGTTCCTTCCTGTGATGACTCTCAAAGAAGGGCAGTGACTTTTAAGGGTGTTTTCCCCCCCCCTTATTAATTGTTGCTCTGTGTGCAGGACAGGTCACACCTGTCCTGTCACAATCTCCAAGAAGCACCCACCAGGTCTGGAAAATTTGAGATCACAAGATATTTGGCAAACACAAATAGATAACTTTTTTTGTTTTGCTTTCTCATTTTTAAAAAGACAACATCCAATGCAAAGTTAGAACAATGCTTTCTTTCTTTTTTTTAAAAAAAAAGGCCATTTAGGGAGGGAGCATAAAACAAATGTACGCTAACAGCTGTGTTCACGCTGTGTGCTGGCTCCACTCCTCCTTGATCTGATGCAATTGTCATCTAAACCAGCAGGATATCAAACTGAAACATTAGTTCTTTAAAGGCCTGAACATCCTGGATAAGTATCAGAGAGTGGGGAGGAAGAGATAGGAAAGGAGAAATCATGGAGCAACAGCTTCCTAGTGTTTCAATGAGAAACAAACAAATGCTTACCAGGTAAGCACTAGAAGCAATTTTATGAATTTCTCTCTCATTCTCTTTCTGTGCAAGAGAGACAGAAAAAGAGGAGACAGACAGAGAAAGAGAGACAGGCAGACCCTACAGATGGACTCTCAATTGGAAGGCGCATGGCCTAGGAGGTGGCAGCAGCAGGTGTTCCGCAAAATAAAGAGGTAGAGAAAATATGGGAGGGCTCTGGGGTGGAAGTGGGACTCTTGGGTTTTTATCTGGGGTAAAGCAAGTCCATCAGTTAGTGCAAAATAAAATACAGTATGATAGTCTTCAAGGCACCAGAAGACTGTTCATTGTTTTTTTCTGTAACAGACAGACACATATTAGAAATTTAACAAGCTACGTCAGAGGATGCTATGGAGATAGCACGAGACTCTATACCAGTAGCGGCGAACCTTTTTGGGCCCAAGTGCCCACGCTATGGAGGTAGCACGAGACTCTATACCAGTAGCAGCGAACCTTTTGGGCCCAAGTGCCCAAACTGAAAGGAAAAAACCCAGCAGGCATCGGGCCACAGTGGCAGAACCAGAAGTGGCGGTGGAAGGGGGAATCCCGGGCACAGAGGTGCCTCAAGACCCTACTCCAGATCCACTGCCAGTGCCAGCTGCTCCGGATCCTGGCCTGCCACCTGTTGAAGTGCCAACACTGCAGCTGCAGCCACCTCCTGAGGTTTGGCTGCACGGGGAGGGAGTAGCAATCTGGCAACTTGTGGCATGGGTGCCCGAGGAAAGGGCTCTGCATGCCAGTAGGTTTGCCATCACTGCTCTATACTATAATGAACTTATGACTAAAAGGAAAGGGTGAATGAATCAGCCGGATTTGGTGGCCAGTTTGCTGTGTCCTTCACTAAGAGACAATGAGACCCTGCAGATGCTGACTGACAGTGAATCCCTGATCAACAAAAAGAATAAACTTTTTGGAAGGACTAAACTAGCCCATGGTTGCATTAAAAAAAAAACAACAACCTTTCCTCCCCACTACTGGGATACCCACTTTATATTATCCACTGAGGATGGTCCAAGTGCAGACTAAGCTATCCTGGCATCTCACACTTACAGGCAGATGCCAAGGATAGCCACTACAACTAGTTTGTGATGTTTGCTGCTTCTTGCTGTGCTACCCAGATATTAGTGGAAATAGATGGCTGGAGCTTATACAAACACCACAATTAAAAAGGGGACACTGCACAGGTATTGGTAGCTTTGAAAGTGTCATCCTCACTCAAATAATTTCCCTCATACAATGCTCTACCAGCACAAGCTTCAATATTTCACTGGGCCCACAATTTCTTCATCAATATGACAAGGATTGGCTAGATCAGCAATTATAAACCTGGTGCCCTCCGGACATGTTAGTAGTAAACATACAATTCCCATCATCTCCAGAAAGGATGAGTGAAGACAAGGATCACAACATGTAGCTCATTTACAGCCTCCAAAGGTGACTCAAATAACTTGCTCAAATATCCATATTGAATATGAATGCAGCGACATGTACAACTTCTCCCTACCAAACTCCATCTGCAGCTCTCAGGAATGAAAGTTGCATTCTCTTCAATTATTTGTTCCTTTCCTGAGATTATGCATCTGGTCTTCTCTTTCTATACACAAGCCTTCATTCTCCCATTTTAAAAGCTCACTCTCCGCTTCATCAAATCATTTTGAACCCATCCTTTTTTTTTTCAAATCCCAGGCTTCCCAGAGTGCCCTATGTCTCAGAAATTTACTGAGAAATTCAGATTTTTTGTTAAAAGAGTTGAGCTATTTATGTTTTTGAAGTGGGTGCTGCTGTCATTTTTCAAAGCTTTAAGTTTAGGCTATGCACAAATATTGGTCTGACTGACATATCTAACAACCTCAATTAATTTTGTGTGAGAGGCTGTGAAGAAACAGAGGTTTTTATTTGGGCAGAAACTATGTACAGTACTGTACAATAATCCACCAAAATTTATACCATGTTATTTAAGTGGTGCTAGCAGCATGTGGGGGAGGACATGTAACTATGGCAACTTATTTCACCTGAACAGTTAGATTTGATCGATTGCCCCCGGTAAAGAACTCAAGGTATTATTTTGTCATTTTGTGAAGCAGAAAAAAGTCAATAAAACTGTAGAGATCTAAATATAGTTGAAGTAAATCACCATGGACGTTTAAGAAGCTGGAAGGGGGGGGGGAATCTCCATTATTTTATTTTGAAACACCTAGTTAATTTTTGTCTGGAAATGCAGATACATGTGAATTTGGCAAACCCCTCATCAAAGAATTTATGATAAAACGTAGAGGCTGACTAACCAGCTATTTAGCCCCCTGTCTGGAACCCTGCAGGGACAGAATGGGACATTCACAAAGACAGTGATCAGACCATCTTTACTAGAGCACATCAGCCTATCCCAGCGTGTTCCTTCTTGCACCTTTCTGGGGCTTCTGATTTTCTGATGCAGATAGGATTGCTCTGCTTTGGTTCTGTTCCAGCACATGTGACCCCTGAAACCATACTAAAGCAAACCTTCCTCTTTCAATTTGCCAATAAGTGACGTGGCTTAAATAAGTAAGCCACTTCAGGATATTAGAAGTGTAATCAGTTGCCCTGCTCAGCAGAGGGAGTGATTTTTTAATTAATAAAAGAAAAAATAAAATTAAAACTAAAACACAAACTCAATAGTGACTACACACAGTACACATTGAACTTTCCCCACCCATGCCATCTTCAGCCTTCGGACTAGGTGACCAATGATATCAGCTGATACCCTTTTCACCCCATACCTCTCCAAAAATCGAATGATTCTTTTGCTGCCATATAGCCTTTCCCCTTCGAAAAGACATACTGTAAGTATAAATTCCATATATCTTTGAAATCATTAGACTTTACCATTCCTCTTCTTATCATTTCACGTTAGCTTATCATTAATTGCTAAGTTCCACATTTCTTTATACCAACTTCTAGATTAATTTGTTTGTCGCTTTTCCAATTCATTGCAAATATTAATCTTGCTTACTGTAGCCAAATTAATATCTTACTTATTGGTGTTGGCAGTATATTTGGCAGTAACAAGAATGACAGCCCAGCATAACAGGTCATTGTTACCAGCAAGGTATAAAATGTTGTTCTGCTGCTGCTGCTTCTTCACTGCAAGCCCCTCTCTGCCTCATTAGGGTAGAGTGTGAAAATGTTACTCTTTTGGGATCCATGGTGGCTGGGGGATTCTGGGAGCTGTCATCCAAAGGAGTAAAACTATTAATATCTGGATTGGAAGACCAAACCATATCCGACCCAGAGGCTGGAAAAGTTTCTTTTTTGGACTATACTGTATCCTGAAGAGTCCCTCACTCAGGCTGTCATTGTTTTTTAAGGTCTTATCCTTGCCAAATCATTTTATTAATATTCAACGCTGACCTTCTTGGAAATCCAGTTGGTACTACAGTGTGACCCAAAAGAGCACACAATGAAAAATAGCTCCAGGTGATTCAGATCAGAGAACACAGATTTGCCTGCAGCCAAAAGTCACAATACATTGGTTTAAAATTATTTAGTCCCATCAGCAAAATGCAGGGCAAAAGGTTTACAACCGACCATGTGGGTTTAAAATTAACTCCAACTGGAGTCTTAATTGGGCTATGGATTAGGCTATCTGGCTGTGTTCCAGTGGAATCCCCTTCTTGTTTGTAAAAGAAAACAAAAAAAATGTTTAAAAAGCTACTGGGGACAGAAATTGTATGGAAAGATATGGAGAAACAAAAGCATTCAGAGCTTATTGCAGGCCAAACATGAAAACATGTGCAAGTGTTTACCTGAGCCAATGCCAGAAAGAAAAGAGAAATGATCATCCTTACAGAAAGTTTACCAGTGCTAACCGAGGGGGTATGAAGTCAGAAATAATTTTAGACAAAACAGTACAAAATTGCCTGCAGATCAATTGCAGTGCATCTGGTTATCTAATCCCTCATACTTACTACCAGCCACCCAGTTCTTAGAAAAAGAACTACACCAAAGATGTTGATCATGCAAGAGGTAAAGACTCCATCCCATGTTCCAAACAACACCGGTTCCCAAACAAAAAGCTGTATCTTCCACCAAGGTCTGTTGTGCATTTGTGACCCCTGTAAGAAGAAGAAAAGCAGACATATTAAGTTACTGTTGCGATTTCATCTCTGCCAGTAGCACGGCACCATTTTGCCATCTGAAGAGAAATAGTAACTACAATTCGTATCCATGCTGGAAAGCCACTCAATCCAAGGTGCGTAGAAGTAAAGCCAGTTTGGCACACAAGGCAGAAAATCCCACAAGTACCTCTTCCTACTGCACCAGGAAAAAAAAGAGAGAGATCATAATAAAGTTAATAACTAACCATTTGCTACCCTTTCAACACAACCAAAACTGGCTGCCTGAAGCAATTGCTCAATTCCTAATAATTATATGACCAGCCTTACTTGCTAGGTATTTAAGGAGGACAAGACCCATATGGTTTTTGGTCCCAAAGTATTTTATTTTAGTTATCCGTGGTTTATGGTTGAAGCTTGGGGGCACGGGTAGCTAACGTCATCATTTCACAGTTGCACACCCACCCTCTAAGGTGTGTTCGATTCTACCCACCCTCTCCATGCAGGGTTACTCCTCTGCAACCCCCCCCCCAGGCGATCCTTTCCAGCCCCTTTGGTTCCAGTCACAGTGGAACCCAACCCGGGGGTTGGGGGGTGGGAGAGCCCTGCCCAACAGGGCTGAAAATGAAAGGGAACACTGCCAATGGCCTTCTCTTGATTTAAGCAGAAGAAATCTGAATAAATGAATATTTATAGAGAACGTGTTAGGGTGGTTACAAAAGCAGTATCTTCTGTTGATTTTCAGCCCTCGTGTTCAACAGCTAAACTTATTAAGTGTCACTCTGAGCACAGATTAAGCAAGAGAGGGTAAAGAAGTTCTGATTCTTCACCTCAGCCTACCCCACAAAATATAAATTTGAAAAACAATGTTACAAAAAAAATTCCCAGAAATGCCACTCTTTTCTTTTGCTCCTTATAATTAAAACAAACAAACACAATCACACATTTGATATTTTGTTGACAACTAAAAATGGGTCCTGGCCAAGGTTCCCTCTAAGCTGGGCGTGCGCGCATGCATGTGCACCTCTGCCTTCCTCTGTGCAGCTATCTTCCCCCTCTGCACAGCGACCACATTAGGTTCCAGTTGCGACTGAGGCGTGCACATGCACGGGAAGGAGCAAAGGTGTGTGAAAGAGAGGCAGAGCCCCACCCAGTGGAACTGAAGGTTAGGGAGCACATGGGTGTTGGCCAATTTTCAGAGGGCTTCTGAAATCTGTAAGAGTCACAAGACAAAACAGAAGGGCCTCTCTGGGTGCTTCCAAAGGGATGGTTCCTAATTCTATGGATTGAAAAGCACTGTGCACCTGTTCTGTCTTTCCTTCCTTAACATGTTAATTTTTATCATAAGAAAACGGAGGGAAGAAGCAGTGGAGAAACGTGGGAGGTTACAAATACGTGACAGGAGTCTGTATCTCTTGTAAATTTTGCAGATGAGGCAGGATGATGACAAAGTGGAAGGCTGAAAGGAAGGGATGTGGTGAATGACAGGTGATGGAGGATGAAAAGAGAACTTATTTCTTCAATAAACCTCTTTCTACATTTTCAAAAGACCATCCTGTGTGTTGGGTTGCTTTTTTCCTTCACTCTCACACAGGTGTAAAGTTGGAACCTGCCAGAGTACTTGAACCTAAATATTTTTTACAACATTAAAAGAAACAAAGGAAATAGGCTTCATTAAAGGAACCCTGTCTTACTATGGTACTGTGCTAGTTATGTGCCAAGGAACACAGCAGAGGTTGGAGGAGGAAGTGAAGTAATCTCTAAGACTATCAGTCTACATCAGTGGTTCCCAGCCTTGGGTCTTCAGATGTTGTGGAGTAAAACCCCTAGAAGCCATCCTCAATAGCTGTGCTGGCCAGGATTTCTGGGAGTTGTAGTCCAAGAACACCTGAGGAACCAAGATTGGGAACCACTGGTCCACTTAAAAGAGGAAGAGGAAAACACCTGACTCCATCGGTGCTGGCCCCTATAAGGACACTGCTTGTTCTGCAAAGCCTTTTTTGCTCTGCCCTTCACTTCCAACAAGTTTCATCCCCTTCCTTGCACTGTTTCCAAATCCAAAACTTAATTATAGTGATAACAGAACCTTCTTGACATACCTGTTGTGCTTCTTCGAGAAAAAGTTCTTGTACATGCCCATCATTTCTCATGCTGGTGCTTTCCCTGGGCAAAAATGGTCTGCCTGTCACTGTTAACCTGGAGGCAGAAGGTGCTGACATCATGATAGACAAGCGACTGGCCACAGAGCTCAAGGTCAGCTATTATACTCAGGTGAGGTCCTGTAAGCCTGAGGTGTGCAGAGCAGAGGTTTCATTGCTTTCTTTCACCTGGTGTAGTAAAAAAGACAGAGCATATTGTAGGCACAGGGGTCGGCACAACAGTTTTATCAATAAGTTGGTGAAGAACTGGAATAACAGAGCCAGTGGGGTGTAATTACTTAGAGAAGTAGACTTCAAATGCAGGAGATCTAGGTTCAAAACCCCAGACAGCCATGCAACTCAGTGAAACTCTCTCGGTCTAATCCATCTCAGCGGGGAAGAGGAAGACCATGTACACCAAAGTGTAACAAATTACGAAATAATAACATTGCACTAAAGCAAACCTTGTATTATCTACTGCAAAAGGAAGAATTTGATACTGGAGGCTGGTAAGAGAATGTTAAATCTCACTTTGTTTTTCCAAGGTACATAGTTTAACTGGCTCATCACCTTACGTGGCCATTACTATGACATAGTTTGCTATTCCATCCTTGCTAAATTCAGTGCTGTGAACCTATCTGGAGAACAAACACCCAGCCTAGTCTCCTTCATCATCACCTTCTTCACACTTCCAGCACCAAATTTGCAGACATGAAGTTCCTGCTTGGGTATAGGTTGTCCATGTGAACCAGAGCTCTAAAAAATCTGAGGAACCTCACCTCTTCAAATCATGCTAAAAGGATGAAGACTGCACCAAGGGAGAAGGATGGGCCTAGGAACTTCCCCCACAGCATTGACTTTGGTAATGCTTGCATAGGGTGAAGGTGTATCTAGAATGACAGAGAAATAAAAGACCATCTGCAAAGGAAACAACTTAATTGGGTTGTTGCCCAATAAAGTCCACAAAGTCTTATGAAAAAAGATGGGCAGGTTCCAGAACTTCCATTCTTTGACAGTCAGCCAGATTCGTATAGCAGGTGGGCTTTGGAGATCTACGTACATTATAGACTCCACTAAGCTACAAAACTCATAGGACAAGTTTGGGTTAATCCCTCTCTGTTTCAACATGGCCTGTCTTACAGGCTTGTTCAAACGATAACATTTGGAGGAAGTAGCTATGTATGTGACCTTACATTCAGTGGGAAAAGGTGGGATATAAGTATAACTAAATGAAGAAGAGGCAAGAGGAGAAGGGGACGACAGAGGACGAGATGGTTGGACAGTGTCATTGAAGCTACCAACATGAATTTGACACAACTCTGGGAGGCAGTGGAAGACAGGAGCCCCTGGCGTGCTCTGGTCCATGGGGTCACGAAGAATCAGGCATGACTTAACGACTAAACAACAACAAATGCAGAAGAAGAAGGAAGAAGAAGAAGAAGAAGAAGAAGAAGAAGATGGTACAACAGTGAGAGGATTATCCTCCTTACTTCTTCTACCACTGTTTGAAGTGAGACTGTGACTAATATGCAACATGAGGAGTCAGTCTATTCCTCGCTGGAGCAGCCACCTTCCATTTCAGTTCCTGCTTGCCACACCTGTTTTCCTGGTTCTTGTCCCTCTGACAAGGTATTGCACAAGCAGGCCCAGCCCTTCTTGGACAGAGCCACCAGGATCACTGTGATGATGAAATGCATGCAGATTTGCTAAGCGGCAGCTCACTTTCTTTACTCTGTGCAAAAGACCTCTTCAGCAGCAGTGAAGCAGTTAAGGTTCACTGATTCCCTGGTGTTCATTCTTCTTCAGTGGAAGGAAGTAATCTCTGCCAGCACCACCACTGGTGGCTGTTTTTCAGTACAACTAAGGCTTCATGCAGGGAAAAGAGCAGCAGGGGGCTGATGAACTCTGGGCAACAAAAAGGCAGAGCTTTTATGCAAATAGTGTTTTCCATAAAAATCAGTGAGACACATAAGATGGCAAGGCAGGTTTTCTAGAAGGGTTGCTTAATTAGGTAATTTTTCCAGTGACTTCCAAAAAAAAAATCAAGCAGAAATTTTACTCTGTAAGAAATTTAGCAATATCTCTGAAGATGTATTTGGAAACAAGTGCTTCAGGAGGAAAAACAGAAACAAAGAAAGAAAAATCTAGCATTGTTTCTCATGTCATTATATCTGTAAGGGATGGCTTATCAGAAACCACCTGATAAGTACTTATATTGGAGCACTAAACATGATACGTATAGCAAGTCTTTCCATTTCCTGAAGAATGTGAAAATATCCACCAAAGAAGTTGCTACATCCTTAAACATGCAACCAACTTTTAAAATAGGTTTTCCAAACTTTCATTAAACTGATAATGAGCAACCACATCCATAGATCACACCAAGCCACAGTAAATACTAACCCATATTTTAGTGTGATGAGGAACAAGTACTGTGAACTTTGGACTTATGTGGTCCCAATCTCTTATCTTTGGGAGCAACCAAAAGGAGACCAAAGTTGTTCATCCCTTAAGGTAAAGGTAAAGGTTCCCCTTGACAATTTGTCCAGTCGTGTCTGACTCTAGGGGGCAGTGCTCATCCCCGTTTCCAACCCATAGAGCTAGCATTTGTCCGAAGACAATCTCCCGTGGTCACATGGCCAGCGCGACATAGACACAGAATGCCGTTACCTTCCTACCGTGATGATACCTATTTATCTACTCGCATTTACATGCTTTCGAACTGACCTTGCAGCACAGAGGCTTCGGCGGTTTAACCCACAGTGCCACATTAATTGTAAACTGAGAAAATGGTAACACACATGCCATTTCTATCAAGTTTAGGGAGGCTTGCTCCCAACTAAGTAGGCATAGGACTGAACTTACTAATACAATCTAAAATACAGTGCACCCCCATACCCACAAGACCCTTTGGAGCAATTCTTTTATTGCAACCCTCCTTTCCAAAATTGTATTGATTGTTGCTTAGAGGCTTTCCCCTTTCCTTTCACTGATACAAATTAAATAAATCTACCCAAAATAGCATAAAAATATTTAAAATTATTTCTCCTCTTTTCATCTTAAGTTCAGTAGTCAATTTGTCATTTAACGCAATGTCCCATATTTTATTATACCAATCTTCTAATTTAATATCATGTTTGTCTTTCCAGTATCAAGCTATTAAAATTCTAGCACTTGTCATAAAATTAGAAATCAATTCCTTTGAGCAATAATCAAGTTCTGTCTTATCAAAAATTGACAGCAAAGCAATTTTAGAATTAAATTCAATATATTTTCCAAATATATATCACATATTTCCTTAAAAATCAATTTCCAAAATTTCTGAATTGATTTACACTCCCACCACATATGATAATACATGCCAATTTCTTCATCACATTTCCAATAGGCCTTAGAATAGTCTGAATTTATTATTTTCAATTTCACCAGAGTCATGTGCCATCTTAAACTGATTTTTAAAAAATTACCCTTTATTACCTGACATTAAAATTACCCGACATTAATCTTAAAACTCTCATCTTCCAGATTTTAGTCCAATCCTCTGTTCTCATTTCTGTCTTTCAGTCATGTTCCCAAATTGATTTCAATCCTTCTGTTTCAGTCTCATTTCCCTCCTGAACCAAAATTAGGTTATAAATTCTACTCCCTTCCTCAAAGCATCCTTGTGCGTGTCTTCATGTGATGATACAAATTGTTCATACTTAGTACATTCTCTACATTTGCCAATCCTCTGTTCTCATTTCTGTCTTTCAGTCATGTTCCCAAATTGATTTCAATCCTTCTGTTTCAGTCTCATTTCCCTCCTGAACCAAAATTAGGTTATAAATTCTACTCCCTTCCTCAAAGCATCCTTGTGCATGTCTTCATGTGATGATACAAATTGTTCATACTTAGTACATTCTCTACATTTGCCATTAGTCTTCAACCATTCATTAGTCCATCTGTCTAACTGTATATAATTATACCATGATCGTTTATTAGTTTGAATTTTAACTATAACCTGATCCTTTGATCTCATTTTAATCATCCAATCCTTCAGTCTGGCAACTTTTTTATCCTTAAACAAATCAACAAAGCCCTTCAAGTTTGCTGGGAAATTTTCTATTTCGGTCACTAATTTTAGTGGTGAAGTAATGGGACATAACTTCTTTTTATATCTGTTCCAAACATTTAACATGTTTCTTAAGAAGGGGGTGTTCACCTGATTTATTATATTTCTTTTTACTACATTAAACAAATATTTTTCAATATAATTCAATTCTGACTCATGGCGACCCTTTTCAAGGTTTCCCAGGTAGAGTGTACTCAGAAGTGGTTTACCATTCCCCTCTTCGGGGGGGGCATCCTGGGACTGTGCAGCTTGCCCCCAAGGCCACACAGGCTGACTCCTCTCCCAGAACAGTGAGGAAACAAACTCCCAACCTCTTACTCTGCAGCCAGATGTCTAACTTACTGAGCTATCCAGCCAGATACTAAATGGCAATTTACATGATTTCCTTCACTCTGGCATAAACTGGCACCAGGATTCTAGTCATAATATTGCACTCTCAATTCCATACAGCTACTGTAGGATGATTCTACAAATTATACTCACCACAGATTTTTCCATTTGTAGCAAAACGTGATCTGAATTGTTCCTGTCCAAGAACTGCTCAGCCTTTTAACGCTCCTTCCACAAAACTAATACCTCTGCTTTTGCACCTCAGGATATTTCGTCAAGAAACACATACCAAGGCGTCAAAAACAAGCATTTTCTACAAATGACTGATACATACCAAAAACCTGAAAGGTACATATATTTCTAACCATACACATTGTGTAATGCAACCCTGTATCTCACATGACTTTATTTAATTAGAAACTTCACCCTACATCACAGCAGATCTCTTTAAATACTGTCTTTGTGGTGACTAAGGAAAAATAAAGAAAAGTGAATCTGCATTAAAGCAAACAAACCCTTAGGAGGAAGCAGTCAGTCATTTTTTTCTGAAATACCAGACCTTTGCAGGTAGCTCCTGTTCTCAAAGTAAAGGTAGGAATGTGGGTGTATAATAACACAGACTGTCACATTAAGACAGATCTTCTGTAGCATTATACTGCAGGATTTCATACAACACGAAGTGCTGCAGCTGAAATTTGTGATCTTAACTGATGTAGTGTAAGCCACCTAGAATGTTTCAGGGAAAGGTGGGATGTAGATATTAAACAGGAATAAATGACTATAATATAGGCACTTGCACTCACACAACTGCATGCCCATCATCTGCTGCATCCGCAGCCTTTGGCACTAACTTCTATGTCATTGTTGAAGCTCTCCTGACCTTTCAGAACTGGTTTTCTGAGCAACACAGAGGGCTGCAAGTGAGATAGACCCAAGCCCCTCTCAAAATAATTTTAGCATGCCATAGTATGTGTCATAAATCTGGTAAATCTCAGGCAACATTTGTGAAATGGGTTGCAAACTGTTCGCAGCATTATTTCTGAACCTGCATAATAGTACCTGTGTCATACGGGTGGGTCCCTGCAACAGAAGGTCACACTATATCCTTCGTGTGCACACTTTACCTGAGACTGTGACTTAGAGGGTTGAAAAAACAAAAGGTTGTAGCAAAGGCAGGGGTCCTTTCTCTAACATGGGTACTTCTTAACATCACTTGCTTGTATTTGCCATTGAACATTTAAATGTATAGGTTTTGTACAAACATATGGTAATCTGCATGCAAATCTGTACACAGATTGATCTTTTTGTGGATTTTGAACAGTGGTTCCCAACCTCAGGTAACCCATGTGTTCTCACACTACAATTCCCAGAAGCTTTCATCACCATCTGTGCTGGGTGAGGTTTCTGGGAGTTTGTTTGGGGGTTTTTTTTTTCATAACAAAAACTTTATCTTAGACAATCAGTCATATTACAAACAGACAATTCAATTAACTTTTTAAAATATTTTAACATACTAAACACCAGCTACAGATAATTCAATGAACTTTTCATCTTACTTACTAAATATTTTAACATACTAAACACCAGCTATTCACACCATTTAACAAAATTACACTTAATCTTGAATCCCCATTCCATCCTAGAATGTTACCAACCAACAATTGGAGTAATCTAGATTTACTGCTCAAAATCCTACAAGGTAGGCTTCAGCAGTATGTGGACCGAGAACTTCCAGAGGTACAAGCTGGATTCCGAAGGGGCAGAGGAACTAGAGACCAAATTGCCAACATGTGCTGGATTATAGAGAAAGCCAGAGAGTTCCAGAAAAATATCTACTTCTGCTTCATTGACTATGCAAAAGCCTTTGACTGTGTGGACTGCAACAAACTATGGCAAGCCCTTAAAGAGATGTGAGTGCCTGAACACCTTATCTATCTCTTGAGAAACCTATATGTGGGACAGGAAGCAACAGTTACAACTGGATAGGGAACAACTGATTGGTTCGAAATTGGGAAAGGAGTACGACAAGGCTGTATATTGTCCCCCTGCTTATTCAACTTACATGCAGAATACATCATGTGAAAGGCTGGACTGGAGGAATCCCAAGCCGAAATCAAGATTGCCGGAAGAAATATCAACAACCTCCGATATGCAGATGATACCACTCTGATGGCAGAAAGTGAGGAGGAATTAAGGAACCTTGTAATGAGGGTGAAAGGGGAGAGTGCAAAAAACGGTCTGAAGCTCAACATCATAAAAACTAAGATCATGGCCACTGGTCCCATCATCTCCTGGGAAATAGAAGGGGAAGATATGGAGGCAGTGACAGATTTTACTTTCTTGGGCTCGATGATCACTGCAGATGGAGACAGCAGCCACAAAATTAAAAGACGTTTGGTTCTTGGGAGGAAAGCAATGACAAACCTTGACAGCATCCTAAAAAGCAGAGACATTACGTTGCCAACGTAAGTCTTCATAGTCAAAGCTATGGTTTTTCCTGTAGTGATGTATGGAAGTGAGAGCTGGACCATAAAGAAAGCTGACTGCCGAAGAATTGATGCTTTTGAATGGTGGTGCTGGAGGAGGCTCCCCTGGACTGCAAGGAGAACAACCCTATCCATTCTAAAGGAAATCAACCCTGAGTGCTCACTGGCAGGACAGATCCTGAAGCTGAGGCTCCAATACTTTGGCCATCTCATGAGAAGAGAAGACTCCTTGGAAAAGACCTTGATGTTAGGAAAGTGTGAAGGCAAGAGGAGAAGGGGACGACAGAGGATGAGATGGTTGGACAATGTAATCGAAGCTACCAGCATGAATTTGACACAACTCCGGGAGGCAGTAGAAGATAGGAGGGTCTGGCGTGCTCTGGTCCATGGGGTCACAAAGAGTCGGACACGACTAAACGACTAAACGACGACGATATTTACTAAATCATGTGACTTTCCATTTAGTTCACTGGTGTATTTTAATAAAGGTTCCTAAATTCAGAAAAACTGACTGTCCTTTCTTTCTCCTCTGTATATTCTGATCTTATTGGTCAATTTCTCCATCGAGAGCGTTTCCCATGTCCTGTTCAGAAATGTCTGTAACGAACAATCTTGGGCGCTTTCCCCGCTTTTAGCACTCTTCACACCTTGCCATTCCTATCATACTGCATTTGCAGTCACTTCCCGCGGGCAGAGACGCACCCTTTCGGCCCCGTGGGAGTGAGTAGGGCTCCTTCGGGCGGGTCTCCCGCCAGGTGCTGACAGCCCAGCCGCCGGACGGCGCCCCGCCCAAGCCCGCGCAGCCTGGATCCGGGAAACGCCCGCCCCGGTTTCCCCACTCGTCATACGTGTGTGTGTGTGTGGGGGGGTAACCCCGGGTAAAGAGCCGAGGAGCTCCCGCCCTTTAAGCCGCGGCGCGGAAGGGGGAAAGGCAGCAGGTGTGAACCTGCCAGCTGATGCCGGCGGCACCTGCTGGAATCCCCGCGGGCGGGCCACGA